GAGGCGTGGGTGTAAGGGAGGGGCTGGCCTTAAAGGGGAGGACGCGAGACCCGGCGCGTGGAAAGCGGGACTGGGGGGGCTTGCCCGGCAGAGAGTGGGGACTGAGAAATCCTAGTTCTTAATCGGGGCCACCAAAAGGGAAGGGGGAGTCGTATGAAATTAGCTGTTCAGATAGAAAATCCACTTTTTTCCAACTGTCTGTCTCTTAGCAGCAGCCAATTGGAAGAGGGGGTGTACTTTGAAGGCGAGAAATGACTGAAAGTGTGGACTGAATGAGATCTCAGTGGTGAGCTGGAGCTACATAGGCCATTTATCCTAGGAATAGATGTGAGGCAAATATTAAATATTTTCTTAAGTTGAACATTTTTCCTCTGAGTTTTGTATTTCTTCTCTGATCAAGTTATTGTTTTTCAATAAAGACATGTGTAACTATGAACAATTCAGTAATTATACCTTTGAACATTTTTTTTTTCATGTAAATTTACTTTTAAAAGGGATACAGGGTGGGAAGAGAATGAATTGACATTCAGACTGCCTGAATTTCGGAAAGCCTTTACCAACTGGCTGGCTCGCTCGCTCTCGCGCTCTCTCTCTCTCTCTCTCTCTCTCTCTCCCCGCCCACCTTTCCAGAAGAACAGCAATACCTTTCGTGGAGTTGTGGAGAGAATTAGATAAGACAAGGAACATAATAAAAGGGAAGGTCTGTGAATAGGTTCTGACTTTTCCAATGTGGAAAAGTTAAACCCTGAACCTACAGCCATGAGAAGTGGGTATTTTTGAAGAAGCCGAGTTCTAGTTCAGATTAGCAACATGTCTCTGTGAAAGATATTAAGGATATAGCTGGACCTACATCGTAGGCCACATCAGGGGAGGAGACTAGGAAGGCCCTAAATGTAAGCTGCCAGAAGGCCTCTATACATATTCTGATGGGGTTTGGGGATGATCATCAAATACATCCCTGCTGATTGTCTCCCAGCTCTGACTAGTAGAACAGTAGAGAAGTAAGCCAAAAGAACCAGACAGGCAAAGACAAAAACCTCAGTTTATTACCCATAAAGCCAGATTAGAGAATGGGGCCTGACCTATGGCTACACATGGCCCCTAATGTGTCTCCACACCCCCCTCCCCACACACACACAACATTCCAGAGCCCCCTTGTTTGGAGAGACCCAGCTCAGGAAGAAGGAGAGAGAACGTCCTGAGGACGGGCAGGCCCTTGGGACTGAGGCCAGGCAGGGAGGGAGTGAGGGGCAGAGGGGAAGGCAGACATTACCCTTCCAGGACAGGCAGGGCTCACTCCACAGGCCCAGGAGAGAAACAGTTCCCCTAACACAAATATTTGCTCTTTTCAAGAAGAGTTCATTTAGTGTACACCTTGACTGAGTACAAGGTGCCATGCTTGATAGGCCTTGCGGTGGTGAATAGCTTTAATCTGTGGGGAAGAAAACAGACAGGTGCAAGGGGACAGCATTGCAAAAAGTGGCACAGAAACAGATCTGGAAGCCAAAGGGTTCACCTCTAGCAGCAGGAACCAGAGCTTCCTCCCTGACTGATGCGGTGAGACAGTTCCCCCAAACCCTGGCTCTTCAAAGACAAAGAGACTGCCTAAGGCCAGAGAGATGAAAAGACACCTTTAGCTCATCAGATCTACAGTACTGTTGTCACCTCCCAAGGCACACTTTGGGAGTTGCTGGAGGACTGAGAGAAGGAGCGGGCATGGGTCCAACTGCTCAGTCTTTCTCAGGAGATCCCAGGTCTGTGGCTGCTCAGGGCTCTGAGTTGGTCTTTTTCCCTCTGCAGAGGGTCACTGAGGGCTTCCTACTGCTTGGCATTGAGCTGTCATTGCTTCTCTCCAGGAGGCTAGAAAGGCGAAAAGCTCTTTATGAACTTTCAGAGGCAGCCAGGCACATGGAAAGAAATGAGAATTCAGAGACAAATGACCTGAATTCAAGTCTGTCCTCAAGTTGAGTTACCTTTAGCAAGTCATTTATCCTCATTTTGTATCTGAAAAAGAGAAAAACCATAAATTCTACTTTGAAGACTGAGTGAGAATTAAATGCAGTGGTGTTTATAAGAACTCTTCTTCATAAATTATCATAAAGAAGTCAATATTATCACTATTGAAGCATTACTGGCTTGCTCCTCTGCTCTATGCTCACTGCCTGGGGATTGGTCCCTGATATCAAAACTGCCTGCCTACCTAGCTGGGGCTCTGGGGAGGTGCCGAAGCCCAGTGACCTAGGAATAACAAGAGAACTGAAACCCCAGCTGGGGAGTCCTTCTGGAATTACATGGGCCTATTAGGACTGGGGGGTACGCAAGGACTCTAAGGGCTTGTATATAGTGCATAGAGATTACATAAACTGCACACAACACACAGAAAACACACACATATATGAACACAAACACATAAGCATAATGTGATTGATATATAACAGACAGAATAAATGCCTAATACATAAATAATAACTGGGTAGTGAGATGGACTGAAGGAAGAAGCACTAGACAAATGATCAGAGTCTTAAGTTCCATTCCAGGTAACCTCACAGAAGTCCTCTGCTCTCTCAATTTCCTTTCTCTTTCTTGTCTGCAAAATAGTGATAATAATATTTGTCCTGCCTTCCTTGTAGAGCTGTTGTAAGGATAAAACATTTCCCTTAGGACACAGAAGTCCAAAGTTCTGTTTGTATAACACCAAACTTTCAACCATCTGTAAAGAACTACTGAAACAGTCTTTCTGGATGTGCAGAAGCCCTTTACAAGTTAAAAGTATGTATAAATAGGAGATATTGCTTTTGTTTGCTATTCACATGCAAACACATATATCATGCAACACTGTACACACAAAGACAAATTAAAGACCTCAGGTACATAGAATTGGATTAATTGTAATCCTTGATTGATGACACACCCTCATCATTGGGTCATTGTTCCAAATATCTCTGCTTTTATTCAGTTATTAGTTCTTTTTAATAATGCAATAGCACCTGTGAATCCACTCCCAAAATTAAAGCTAGGACTTTGACAATAACATGTATTCTAACCAGGTGGTTCTTCCACTGCACTCTCAACCCACCCCTGTTTCCCTAGCCAAAAATAACCATTATCTGGAAGCCAAAGGTCACCATTCCCAAGTTTTCCTTTTATATAATCGTATTTTGTAAGGTCACATTAAAGGCATAGGTGTTTGGCCTTTATGAAAATTGAAGCTTATCGTGTCTTAAAATGGAGATGATAAGGGTGACTTTATCGGCAAGAGGAGGTTAAAATAAGGAAACATCTTGTCATAGTTTTAGAGTATTCCCCACCTTCTCACGGTGGCGGTGATGGCGACAACAATCACTGAGTGTTGACTCTGTGGCCGATGCTGTGCTCGGCCCTCTACCTGCACTGTTTCATTTCAATATCGTGTAGACCTGTGGCAGATTGCTATTTGTTTGGGCCAATATCCATTTTCCCCTCTTCAACAGTCAAGAGCCTCAATATTTAGCTAAGCACATAGACTTCCTAGACTAAAAATTACATTTCCCAGCCTCCAATACAGCTGTCTGTGTTCATGAGATTAAGTTCTCGCCAATGGCTTATAAATGGAAGTGGTTAAAGAGAAAAGATAGACACTCCTACTTGTTCTCCTCTTTTCTCTTTCCTGCTGGCAGGAATGAAAATTTAATGGCTGGAGCCCAAGTAGCCATCTCAGGTCATGAAGTGGAGGCTACAGGTTGAGGATGACAGAGCAAAAGGATACAAGAAGCTTATGTCCTGGGGAGCATGGATTCATCCTATCAGCCCTAAACCACTTACCCAGACTTTTAAGAAAGAGAAATAAATGTCTTTCTTGTTATACTAATTGATGTATTTAGTTTTCTATCATTCACAGCCAAACCTTTTTCTAACCATTACACAATCCTGTGGAATATGTACTCTTATCCTCATTTATCTATTTTGTAAATGAGAAAACTAAGTCCTAGAGAAATTAAATAACTTTCCTAAGGTCACACAGATAATAAAGGACAGAACACAGGTCTTTCTGATCCAAAGTCCATGTTCATGGCCCTCATCCTAGATCTTGAGCAGACATATATCCACATATCTTTCTTGATGTCAGAAATATAGTGTGTGCCATTTCTGGGCATGGCCTAGAGAGCTGTGAGTTATACTTTCATTTTAGATAAATTTTAAACCTCTCATATCCCAATTTCCTTCAGTCTTCTAGAATGGGCCTGTGTTAATTTGCATGGCTGGGTTATATTATAGGACAAATCATGAATCCATGATGATCTCTCCCCACCCTGCCTTCACATCATCAGGGGGTGTGACAATTTCCTATTGTACTATGATGTGACATTACGAATAGATGACAGAGGGTAGAAATATACAGAGGCGGACTTCTTGGAAGTTTTCAGATGACATGCCTTTGATCAGAAAGGATCATCCACAGGCTGTTGGATATGCATATGCACACAGGTGAAGTGGCCTTTGTATTCACTGCTAATACTAATACAGCAGACAAAATATTGCAGAAGGGAGTATGAGTCACAAGAAAAGTCTTCCCACTGAAAATTCACCCTTGGAAAGGAAGATAACTTGAGACCAAGGAGAGAGAGAAGCAGTCTTCATGTCACAGGCTAATAATTCTTTGATAAAATGAGAAATTCTCCAAAGCAAGAATGACAGATATATAAGAATCATGAGTCACAAAAATTTCTGAAATCTCTGGAAGTGCTAAGGGCTGAGCCACAGAAATAAATCCTACCCAAAGCAAGTGCTGTCAGCAGTGCACTACCCAGGTGGCAAGAAATGCTCTGCTCCCCACCGCAGTGCCCTTGTCTGCACCTCATTCTCTGACAGTTTCACACCACAGCAGGGAGCAGCTGGAGCTGTGGGGAAGAATGGGAATGGAAAGAGAAAGAAGGAAGTACCCAAAGGAGAATAGAAACTTAGCCTCGGTACCCCAACAGACACAGCATGTCCAAAGGGACAACAAATGATACTTTTTAGGCCTATATCATGCATGATTATAAATTCTGCAGCTTAGTATGGAAAACAGAGGGAAAAGAGGTAAATATTCCACTATAGTCATCCTGACACAGGATAACTGGCCTCTATAAATGTGAGCTGTTATTATACAGCAGGTACTTTCATACTAATCATCTCCTTCAATCCTCTCAACAAAGCTGTAAGTAGTAGTATTTCTGCTTTTCTGATCATTGAAAATACTGTGGTTCAGAAAGTTTTCATGACTGACCGAAGTCATCACACTAGAGCCAGAATTCAGGCTTTTCCACACATGTCAGAGTCCATGTTCCTAAACGCTCTTGTATGTGGTCCAGCTACCTGATATCTGCCCAGCCAAGCTGGGGAAGCCATCCCCATCCCAATCTGTGTGTGTGGCTCAGGAGAAGATGGTCTGCGACCCGCAACTTACCCAGATTCCAAAGACTCTCCCTCTAAGAGAGTTAAAAGCAGTGACTAAAGTTATTTTAGGATTCATGAGTTTGGGATCCTAACATGTGTAAGCTTACTCTGTACCCATTAAACAATAACTCCCCACTCCCACCCTCCTTCCCCCAGCAACCACCATTCTACTTTCTTTATAAATTTGACTACTCTAGGAAACTCATATAAGTGGAATCATACAGTATTGGTCTTTTTGAGACTGGCTTATTTCTTAATGTCTTAACATAATGTCTTTAAGGCTCATTCATTGTTGTAGCGTGTCAGAATTTCCTTCTTTGTTTAAGGCTGTATTGTATACCACCTTTTTTTTTTATCCATTCATCCCTGGATAGACACTTAGTTTACTTCCATCCTTTGGCTATTGTGAATAACACTGCTATGAACATAGATGTACAAATATTTGTTTGAGTTCCTGCTTCCAATTCTTTTGGGTATATACCCAGAAATGGAATTGCTGGATCATAAGGGAATTCTATGTTTAATTGTTTTTAAGAACTGCCATGCTATTTTCCACAGCAGTTATATCATTCTACATTCTCACCAGCAATGCACAAGAGTTTCAATTTCTCTGCATTTTAGCTAACACTTGTTACTTCCAGGGTTTGGGGGGTTTTTGGTTTTGGTAATAGCCATCCTAATGGGTGTGGCCTTGAGAGGGTTTACCCATGGTGCTCTGGGGCTCATGAACGTAGAGATTCACCCAGAAAGTCCTCACTAAAGAGGTGACATTTGACCTAGGCATCTACAGATGGGCAAGAATTCTCTGGGTAGAAAAAGAAAACCACAGAGGAGAAAGAGGTAACATTGAACAATGGAATGAAGAGAGATGAGAACTTGCGTGGCCTGTTTCGAAGCAGCAGGTGGTCGGCATGGGCTGGAACATAGGGTGTGTAAGGGAAAAGATCAAGACGTCAGGCAAGAGGCAGATTTAAGGGCCAGAAATTCCACTAAGGCTTTGGACTTCAGGCAATTGGGAGCCGTTAGTAATGTGCATGGAAGGATTTGGCAAACTTCAACATGTTATATAAATATAAGAATTTAGAACAAAAAGGAGAGACACATTTTTAAAGAAACGTAGGTACCAAAGACTAAAATGCAGTGCCTGGAAAATGGAAGCAACTTCTGGCATCTGCCAGGAAGGATACTGGGTCCCCAGGGTGCTGGCCCTGACCCATGCCATCCTGTTGGCTCCAAGTACGTAGGTAACCAAGCAGCAAAAGCAGCCTGGTGCTGCTGACCTCTTTAGCAGCTCCTGCTGGCCATAGATGGCATCCCAGACAGGTGGACCCAGGAGGGGAGCAAATCCTTCTTACTCTGTCCTGGACCATTGCACTCAGTGATGTATCACCTTCTAGTGCAAGATTCTGAGTCATTCAGACACTGGGAAAATCTTAAACCAGAGTAGCCACCTGCCCCTGACAGCCTCTTATAAGCCTGAAGTCGGGCCCAAACAGAGCCCCCCCAATGCAGATGTCTCACTGTCCCTTCTGCCGTGAAGAGAGGGGCAAAAGACACTTCTTTATATTTAACATATAGGAGATTTACAA